AGACCAGCATGCTGCCACCATTATTGCTCCATCTCAGAAGCTGAACCTTGGTAAAACACTTAAAATTTTGGATCTGGAAACAGGAAGCATCTTTTTAATAGATTGCCAAATATTTTTTCATGGAGTGGCAAGAGGAGGTCCCCTCTCTTTATTGAGACATTCAGCCCTTAGGGGAACCTCAGAGAATGAGAGATTAAGGCAAACACTGAATTAACTCTTCGAGAGCGTGACTTTGTGCCCGCACACAGCATAATTGGAAATGCTGCCCCTGACCCCCGACTGTGATGCCTAGGTGGTCATGGGTAGCCCCCTCTGTGGTAGTTTGGCCCTGGGTCCTCCTGACTCAAGGACATTGCTGAGCACCTTCCCTTCATTACATACATGAACGTATATCTCAGTTGTTTTTCTCTCCAGAGAAGGATTATTTCTTTGAAGCAGAACACAGCCCTCTCTGGGGAGGCACAATGCCAGTGACAATAAACATTGCCTTTTCTTCTTATAGTTGGCTTGAAGTTTCTGGAACACAAAGAGCTTTACAGCTTTGCCAAGCTTGTCTTGGGAGATGAAACAGATACTCCTTGCCATGTGCTCAAAGTCACTTTTTCCCAGCTTTTCCCCTTTCTGAAAGTGAGAGATTGAGAAAAGTAAAACAACAATAACAACAACATTCCCAGCAAATTGCAAAAAGTCTGTGAGTGGATTACACCCAGAAGTCAAAGCTGCAGGAGTCCTGTTAGAGAGTGGAGGAGGGGGCTAGTGTTCCCCACATCTAGTTCACCATTGTAGAGAGTCTCAGATTTATAGTCCAAAGCTAATAGGTTGGTCTGCCACAGTTCCATGGGTGCTGGAAGAGGACAAGAATCTCCTAAGTCAGAGACTCAGTTGTGGTTTACTCCCAGCAGAGTAATTGGCATGAGTGCCATGCTCCCATCAGTTCCTTTGTGCCCTCAAGGCCCACGGGGTGATGCAGAAGAGCCAGGGAGACTCTGTGTGCACAGTAGGTTTGTGTCACAGCTTACGAACCATGAAATTAAGAAACACCAAACATATTTTCCATTTCAACAAATATTTATAGGATGCCTACTATGACCAGGTGCCTGACTTAGGAAAGGAAGACACAATGAGAAAAATGGAGTTCTGTTTTTGTGCAGCTGACCTTCTTGTTGGAAAAGACAGATAGTGAAAAACTATCATTATAAATTAGTAAATTACATAGTAATTCAGAAGAAGAGAAGGGTATGGATCGAGAGCTACAGAAGATGTGGGAGCAGGAATGCTGGGAGGGGGCTCGAGGCAGTATGAAATGGGGTGTTCAGGGAAGGCTTCACTGAGAAGATGAAATTGGAGTGAAGATGGAAGAACACAAGGGAACCTGCCTGAAGTCATGTAGACAGGTAGGGAACCTGGAGGATGTGAATGACTGTGTTTAATGCCTATGAAGCTCCAAACTTAAAAAAGGGGGTTGCTGGCAAACCTGGCAAATTTTGCCTTGGAGGGAGACATTGTTTTTATTATCTCAGTCAGCAAGTAGATCTGTCTTTTGCCCAGCAGGGAGACATAGGTCTATCTTCCAAAGCTACTCGTTAGGCAGACATCCTTGAAAAGAGAGTCAGAACAGAATCTATTAATGCCTCTGCTCAGAAGACATGCACAAATGCAAGGGACTCATGAAGGATTGTTTCTCAACAGTTATTCCCCACTCCCATGCCTAGTGACATTTGAGTGACCCAGCTAACACTGAGGTCCTTCCAGTATTCAGTCCCAATTTGCAGAGGGGAAAAGGGCTCAGCCAGGGCTCTGTCCAGAGTTACCATCTAACTCCATCTTAGCCCTGGCTTGGCAGGCTCAGATAGTCCTGCTAAGAGCTCAAGAGCTCTACCATCACGAATCTTCTCAAATAAACAACATACAAGAACAAACAGACATAGTTCTACATAAACCTGAAGATTCCTTGACTTATGTCCTTATTAAGATCTAAGAGCTGAAGAAAACCATTCCTTCACTCCAGCTTCATTCCTCTGGCCCTGTTGTTTGAGAGGTCACTTTGAGCCAATGGGTGGAAGAGTAACATGGGGCTCAGGACCCCTGGATATTAAATTGTTGATACTTAATCTTCCCAAGTGACCTTCAGAGAGCTGATGATACCCTCCAGGCCACATTCTTTAGGCAACTGAGGAAGGCTTTTGAACATGGACATACCAACAGCTCTCATTGAACTTTCCAGGGTAGGTGACTAGTCTAATCATCTAGTCCTTAGATTTCCAATCCTAGACCCTGAAGGCTCTCCACCTTTGCTAGAAATAGATTTATAGAGTTCACAACTAGGCCTCAGTCATTTCCTTAAAAATCACATGAAGTTTTGGCCTACGGAGGACCAAGTTCCCAGACCAGAGGAACCTTAACTGAGTGTGATCTCCTGTTTTTCAAGAACAATTGAAACAATGATATGTTTTCTGTGTCTTAAAGTATTATCAAGATTCTGTGTGGCAAGGGCACAGAGATGATGGGATGAGAGCTTATCCAGTCTCACCTATGATAATCCTTGTATAATTTCACTCCTCCATCTTTCCCTACCTCCACTTCTCCACCCCCTTCTCCTTGTGGGTGGTCATGGCAGATTTGGATGCAAGAAAGTGAACAGGCAGACATGTGAACTGAATGGAGGGACTAGGGTTCCTGTAGATGTATGTGCAGTGAGGGCTATGTGGTTTACTGCCAGTGTATTATGAGAAGGCCTTGCTCACTTCAGGAAAGTGGGCATTTTTCAGACTGTCAGCTGGATGGATGCCTTAGAGGAAACCCAGCCCATTGACCCAATAGCCATTGTCCATTGACTCTATACCTATCCTCCATTAACCAAGAGCCATCATGCGTTGACCCTATAGCTATTCTCCATTGACTGAATGGCTATTATCCATTGGCCCAATAGCCATTGTCCATTGACTCTATACCTATTCTCCATTAACCAAGAGCCATCATGTGTTGACCCTATAGCTATTCTCCATTGACTGAATGGCTATTATCCATTGGTCCAATAGCCATTGTCCATTGACTCTATACCTATTCTCCATTAACCAAGAGCCATCATGCATTGACCCTATAGCTATTCTCCATTGACCCAATGGCTATTCTCCATTGACCCAATGGCTATTGTTCATTGACCCTCTAGTTTTTGGCAGAGGATAAAGAACTTATCAGAGTTCCAGGGCTCTAAGATACGTCAGTCTGCTTTCAGACTTAGCCCAACAAGATGACCTCTCAAAGACATTATAAATCAGGTTAGAGACAGGCAGAGGTCTGGAGGAAAATTAATTCTTATCACCCAATAATGGTTGTTTTACTACACCGTGCCCCTTTTAATCTATGGATCTGGATCTCTTTGTGGTCCTCAATAGTGGAACTCTTCCTGAGAGGTAGGGAACTGGGCTTTTTGACACAAAGCTTGTGTCAAACTCATTTTAACAAACATCATAAAGGCAGGATTATTGAAAGTAATCCATTACAGAGGCAGGCATGATGCAGAATTTTTATTTTTGCACAGCTTGAGAGAAAAAGAAAAAAAATGGTAAACTTCTAGGTTTGGGGAATATAGAAGTTTTAAATTGATGAAAGATAGTTTTAATTTTTTCCCAGAAAGTAGCATTTAATTTCTTTTGCATACAAAAGCAGTCTGTGAGGGTCTGTGAGGGTGCAGACCATGAGCTGTTGACACAGATCAAATTCTGAAACCATGGCAAGAAAACACACACACACACACACACACTTCACAAACATAGAGTCATCTAATGTTCATGTCAGCAGGTGGTCCTGACCGAGTCCCGGACGTGTTCTGCAGGTGCTCAGTGTCCCTGCATCTATGTAGGCGAATGTGCCTGCCTGGAAAATAAATGGAAGGAAGCGATTGATGGAAAAGGGGAGGTAGGACAGAGGGAGGGAGGGAAGAGGGAGGAACAGGAAATACATTTCTGAACATGTTCCCAGATGGTAATAACTGGCACCAGTCTATGCTGGTGGCTTAAATGGGAGCCTGCTATTAAGAGAGAGGAAGGTACTTGTGTAGTCTGTTACCTGGGCAACTGAGCTACTGGGCATTTGTTCAAGTTTTCTGGTCCGTTCCAAACTTCTGTCGTGGAGACTTAAGAAAGTCTGGGGTGCGGGTGCCATGGGAAGGTGAGGTGCTCTTTCCTCAGCACACTGTGTAAAGGTCATGGGATGAAGAATGCAGTTCAGAGTACTTAAGAGTACGTTCTCTGTAGATTGAGTCACATGGTAAATCATTTAAACTTGGAGGAAGAAGTGAAAGATTTCAGAGGAACATCACTTACTACTGGTTGGTTTTCTTCTGGGTACAGAGGAGTGAACCAGAGGCAACATATACTAAGATGATCTATTGCAAACTTAGATACTGGACATGGCAGTGACAGGGCAAGTCTTGGAGGGTAGGGTGCATGGAATTCCCCGGTCCTCTCTTCCTTTCTCCAGTAAGCTGGTGCTAATGGTGGGACTCTAGAGTAGGGGTCTGCAAACTTTCTGTATCGGGCCAGATGGTAAGATTTTCTGCTTTGTAGGCCATACCATTTCTCTTGTAACTATTCAACTCTGCCATCGTGGCACAGAATAGCCATAGACAAAATGCAAATGGTATGCATGGCTGTGTTCCAATAAAATGTTATTTATAAAAGTAGCAGGGGGCTGGATTTGGCCCACGGGCCGTGGTTTGCTGACCCCTGGTCTAGCTAGAGGGCGAGGTGTTATGGAGAGGCAAGGAAGGAGCAGAACATCTGGGAGGCTTAGAGTACCTGGCCAGCCCCTGGTTATGGTTGGGAACAGCTGCGTCATCTGTGCTCTTCCCAGCCATTCCTGAGGAGCTCAGAGTGTTGGTTTCCTCTCTGGTTTATTGAATTGGGCTCTGGGTTCAGCCCTGGTGTTTGCAAACACAAGCATCAAGAGGAAGGAGGACCCGGCAATCAGTAGGAGACAAGAGAGGTAGACATCGAAATAAAGGCAGACCACCTTTTCTTTTTTATTTCGCTTAGACAAAATGCAAAGAGTGTCTCATTAAATTAAAAAATAAACAGAAAAGAAAATCAAATTGATTCCCCCCCACCCCTTCACTGACGGCACTCATCCTAATTCACAACAGAAGGAGGTCAAATTGAGGACCCAGGTTCTAATGGGAAAGAAAGGTGTGCAAACATGACTAAAGTCTCCCCCCTGCCCCCAAATCAGTGTTCCTTTTAAATTCACAAAGAGGGTAATTTTTTCCCCCATTTTCGTTCTTAAATCTTGTGTGATAGAACTTCCAGTCAGAAGGTTTAATTAGTCCCCCATGCACTTTGTAGAAAATCAGTAAAAATGCAATAACCTGTGAAGATCATAAAACTGGACTTCTTTCCCAAAAAATCAGATGCCCAGGCAGATCGAGCTCACACTCAGACAGAAAAAAAGCAGAAGAGTCTTTGCACTGTCTGTGGTTTCAGTATTTTCTCTCTTTTTTTTTTAATATATTTTGGCAATTTTCTTTAATTATAAATATTGGAATTCCGTAAAAAAAAGGTAGCTTTGATTGAATTTTTTAAATTGTATTTACAACCGCTGTCCAGTCATGCTGTTTGTTATACCAGGGTGTAGGATTTTGCGTAGGGATTGTTTCCTTTCAAATGGCCCCGAGAGTCGAGCAGCGATTCTTGGGAGCTGCTCATCTTAGCTGCCTGTCCCAGCTCTGCTCCCTCTCGCTGAGGTAATGTGGCCACGGCCCCCTGCTGCCACTGCTGTCCCTCTCTCGTGGAGGACGTGGAGGAGGAGGCCTCCATGGGGATTGGCTCAAGGACCGTGGGGCGCTTCAGGGTCCGACTTTTCTGAGGTTCCAAGCACGCTTGCCCTAAACTCAGGTCCCTGCTGGTGCCTGCACCGCTTCGGTTTAACAAAAAGTCCATTCTAAGGTATGGAGGCAAATGTATGAGGTCACCTGCAAAGAAACACAGAGCAGTTAGTTGGCTTCCTCATTTGCTAAGCAGGTGCTGAGTGCCATTCGGGTTTAAAGCTGGAGATGTCACTGTATCTGGCCGTGTTTTGCGAGACCCCTTGTCAGAGCTCACCAGAAAGGCAGGTGGAATCATGCTCACCCCCATCCCACTAGGCATAGTGGGAGCTGGCTTTTCTATGGCACATTACTGAGGCTCTTAAGTGTCATACTTCAGCCAGAGAAAGAGAGGTAACAAGATCCTTCAAAACCCCACATTGGAAAGAAAAACATACCTCAAAGGCAACAGTGCACCCCAGGTATAAAGCGTGATGGACTGGACCCCGAATGCAATCAGAGGTGCTCCGGGGAGTTACAGGGATTGAGGAGGGATGCAGGGATGCCAAGGAAAGGGTAATGCTCATTGGCTAGCCCAGTGCTTCTGTCTTCCCCACATGCACACAAGGAGCGCTTGAGTGGTAGCAAGCTGGGTGAATGCAGGGGGCTCTTTTTGGCCACCCAGGGATGGAGGGGCTCACTATTTCAGCTCACTTGTAACTCTTTCATGCCCACTCAGTGGGCAGCTCTGGCTAGAAAGCAGGCTGGGGGTGGGCTGGGGGTGGGCTGTCCTAGAGCCAAGAGACCAGGTGTGCAGGTTGAGGGAGGCATGGCGATGGTCTGAGCTGAAGGGACATCCACGGAATGTCAGAGGGAACGTAATGGTGAGGTATAAAGGGGCCCAAGGATCATGGCTTCTGAATGCAGGGTGATGGGAGGGTGACAGGGAAGGTTGTGTGGATTTTTATATATCCAATTTCCTCAAAGAGATGACCTGTCTTTCATTCTTAAGAGTTTAATAAGCAAATAACATTAATTTGCTCTTGTATTTACTTACATGACTATTATTCTTTTATCATTTTGTTCACATACTTGAGAAAATGTGGAATTCATTTACCTCCAGGGTTATTTAAAAATGTAGGTCAAGAGTGCCTCATGATATTTCTGAGACCCAACTAAATCTTGACTACTTGACATATTTGTAATGTGTTGTAACAGATTTGGGAATGAGTCTATCCCAGCAACTCCCCACTGAATGAACAGGGCTTATTAAGCCCTGGAAAAACAATAGCCTCTTGGTCCCAGCTGGATTGCAGGATGCTCAGGTCCTAGATTAGGTGGAACAATTGTGTTTGAAATTAAAGACAAAGCCCATGATAACTGCCCTCTGCCTGCAGGGGCTCTCACTTAGATTTAGTGATCAGAAGGGTAAGGGTAGCTGAGAAAGGTGGGTGAGAATTTCCTTAATAATGGAAACAGTCCAGCGCCCACATCTTCGCATAAGAGGGCTACTTGTGTTTGTTTACTTTACTGCAGGTCTGCCAACTATCTCTGAATATCCAATATCTCTGAGTGATCCAGTTTCTCAGGCAAAGCTTTACTAAGTTGCATGATGCTCTAATTAACCCTTTCGACAGTGTGAATGCTGCAAATGTGTTCTCTTAATAATTCATGCACTTATGTGAAAGAAAGCACCAGAATAATCAGTGGTGAGCTTTGTTTATTAAAGGCACTTTATGTCCATTAAAATCCCACCCCATGTGCTTGTCCAAGTACCACTTGGGAAACTGGGTTCTGTAATCATCCATGCATCTTCTATGTTCTTCAGATGCCTACAGCTCTGAGGCAACTTGTGTGCTTATTACTCCAGCTAGAAGAGGAATGGAAACCGTGGCGACCGTCTGGATGTTGGCACACCTGCTTTTCTCAGCCTCCTGCCCTCCGTCTGCCGCCTGTTTCCATGGGAGAAACTAAATAAGGATTCTAACAGTGGAGATTGGGAGTAGAGGTCAAGAAGGCATTGCCTGCATTTAATCCGGGATCAGTCTCCTCGCTCATAAAATGGGAATAATAGTAGAATCTACCACATAGAGTTGTGGCGAGGATTTAATTCGGTTATGCATATGAAAGGTTTACTGTCAGACATGTCCCTTCTCAGAAGGTCTGAAGTTATGGGCTGGAGACCGGCCAGGGGAAGGAGCCGAGAACACTTCTTTCTACCTTGGTTTCTGTCTTCAGTGGGCTGATTAGTGTCCACCCCTTCCAAAAGATATGTCCATGCCCCCACCCTCAGAATCTGTAAGTGTGACCTTTGTAGGAGAAAGTCTTTGTAGATGTAATTAAGTTAAGGATCTGGAGACGAAATCATCAGGACTGGAGATGGGTCCTAAATCCAGTGACGGGTGTCCTTATAAGGAAAAACAGAGGGAGACTGGAGACAGAGAAGAAGGGAGAAGCCATGTGAAGAGGGAGGGATAGAGTGGAGAGAGGCAGCCACAAGGCCAGGTGCACCTGGAACCACCAGGAGCTGGAAGAGGCGAGGAAGGGATTCTTTCCTAGAGTCTCTGGAGGGAGTACAGCCCTGCTGACACTGGATTTTGGAATTCTGCCCTTAGAACTAACTGTAAGAGAATAAATCCGTGTTGTTTGGAGCCCCCCAGTTTGTGGTCCTTTGTTATGCCAGCCACGGGACACTCACACAGATGTCCTTTCTTCTTGCCTGGGAGGACCTCACTTGGAGCGTCTTTGAACACTTCTACTGTATGGGAACAGTCCCTGCGTATGTCACTCACAGGAAAGGAGGGAATTTCTCTTGAGACACCAGCAACTGCAGCCAACATGGTTGTGGTTTGCGGGGTCCCCACCCTGTGTTCTGACCTGTCACCCACCCTTCCCCCCCTACAGAAGCCAAGGCTGCCCCTCTTCCCCCAGTTCCTCTGCTCCCTGGGAAGCAGACACCTGTCCAGCTGGCCCCCAAAGACGCCCTCAGGACTAGGTTGGAGGTGGTTTTCCTGCAGTCTCCCTCCGGAGGGAGCAGAAGCCTCTTCAAAGGCATCTGAATCCACAGGGAGCAGGTGTCTCGGTTCCTCACCATCCGGCTCTCCCAGCTGACCCACCCCTGGCCACTGGACCCTCTCCAACTCTGTGGAGCAACATGCCCTGAAGCTAATCCGCCAGGACCCTCCGGAGGTGTCCCATGCATGTGAAAGCAGCAGTGACCCAGTAGACGTTCAAGGATCTTTTTTGCTTCGAACTCTACAGTCACCTCCATCAGGCACGCACGGCCCTCGGCATCCTTGTGCATCAAGCCACCATCGCCACAAACGCGGGCAGAGCCAAACCCTGGCCTCAGCGCATGTCCAGGAAAACCAGCTAGAGCGGAGTTTCCCTCTACTTTCAGCAAGGATTGAATCTTTGATGATCTAAGTTCCTCCTCTCTGTTTAACTCCTCCTTACCCCTCCCCTGTCTCTCTCTCTCCTTCTTGTTCTGTCTTCCTTATGCGGACACTCTCCTCCATGGAAATGAAAGGTGGAGGGAAGGGGTGAAACAGTGTGGGTAGGAGGTGGGGAGGAGATGGCAGCGGCGTGCAATGCAGTCACCGTGGCACAACTGTGAGTAAAGTGGGGTGTGTGTGTGTGTGTATCTGTGCATATGTGCATGTGTGTCTAGGCATGAGTATGTGTATTTGTTCATGTGTGTATGTGTTTGTGCGTGTACACATGCATATGTGTTTCTGTGTATGTGCATACGTGTATATTTGTGTGTATGCATATGTAAATGTGTGTTTAAGTGGATGTGTGTGTGTGCATCTGTATGTGTGAGTGTACATGTGCCTATGTGTTTGTGTGTGTGTATATTTGTGTGTATGTGTATGTGTGTGTATGTATGTGGTTACGTGACTATGTGTGTGTTTATGTGTGTGTATGTGCATGTATGTGTGTGTGTGCGTGTGTCACAAAGACAGAGGGGAGGAAAACCCGGGAGGGAGAAGCAGACAGCACAAGGAAAGAATGAGGTGCCCAGGAGAAAGGGACAGGAGGCAGGAAGACCTGGGCTCACATTCTGACTGCTGGAAGGGAAAGGATCTGGGAATGCCAATGTCCCCTTCCACATCTTCCTTCTGCCCTGCTTACCTAACTGTCCACACCTCTAGCACTTTCCTAGTTAGCTAAACCTATTAGCTACTTTCCCAAACCCAGCATGAGTACAAACGCAGTGACAGGGGGCTGGGAGCCCCAGATGAGCCTTTGGGGCACACTCCGCCCACTGGTTCTTGTGGTACTTATTCATGCACTTGTGTGTCATGAACAGTCACCCCTCTGTGCTCTGGTCCTGAGGCCCACGGCCCTTGAGTCAGAGACGTGGGGTGAGGGCGAGGGTGGAGGGGTTGACACACCCTTGGCAAGAAGGGGCTCTGAGAGGCTGAGCTTAAGGGCTGAGGTGCCGGACTAGACTAGAGTCAGAGGGGCTGACAGGGGTGGTCAGGGCAGGGCAAGTGGGGGGCACGGGGCTGAGAGAGGCAGAGAAATGGACGGAGAGATGAGAGAGAGACAGGGAGAGGGAGAGAGATGAGAGAGACACACACAAAGAGACAGAGAGATGAAAGAGAGACAGAGATGGAGAGACAGAGAGACAGAGGGGGGATGAGAAAGATGGAAACACACACACACACACACATACACACACAGGTAAGCAGAAGGAAGGGACACAAGACATAGAACTGGGCGGGGGGATGAAAATGGGAGACAAAGAGCCATAAATGTTATGCCCTATTGTCGACATCATGGTCCATTCCTCATTTTCCTGGCACCGCCTGTTATCTCTGAGAGTTCACACTAAACAAGTGGCATCAATTTCTCCCTCTCTCCCTAACCACCTTGCTTACGGGCGCCTTCACAACTCCTCATCCCCAGACCCCCTAATGGTCCCTCATCCACCAGCAGGTGGGTACTCAAAGCTTGCTATCTTCCCCAAGGGGGCCTTCAGGCCATGGTTGGCCCCATCACCTGAAAACTGCTATAGTAAACCTGCCTCGCTCATCTGAAACCAGGAGATGCCCCTTCCTATCAGGAAAGCCAAACTTCCTGAACTTTCTCAGTAGAGTCAGACACACAAAGTCTGAATGCACTTTAGCTTTGGAAGAAGGATGGCAAAAATCGATATTAAA